ATACTGTTTTCCACAGTGGCTGCACCAAACTGCATTCCCACCAGCATTGCAGGAGGGTTCCCTTTTCTCCACAGCCTCTCCAGCATTTGCCATTTGTGGGCTTTTGAATGATGGCCATTCTGGCTGGTGTGAGGTGATACCTCATTGTAGTTTTGATTTGCATTTCTCTGATAATTATGTCATTTGCTTTTTTAAAATTTACTTTCAAATAAATTTTATTTTGGAATAATGTTAGATTTGGAGAGATCTTGCAAAGATAGCGCAGAGAGTTCCCGTGTACCCTTTACCCCTCAACATTATCTTACATAACTGTGGTATATCTGTCAAAACTGAGAAATTAACATCGATACATTAATGTTAAATCAACTACAGACTACTGGAATTTTGCCCGTTTTTCCATTAATGACTTTTTTCTGTTCTAGGAATCAATTCAGCATACCACATCCCATTTAGTTGCTTATGTTTAAACTTGTTAGTGTTCCCTGACACAGTATGATTATTTATCTCTTTCTTCCAATTTTTAAATTGTAAAATCACATAAAATTTACCATCTTAGCCATTTTTAGGTCTACAGTTCAGTGGTATTTAGTACATTCATATTGTGCAACCATCACTGTCATCCATTTTTACTCTTTTTATCTTGCAAAACTGAAACTCTGTACCTATTAAACACTAACTCCCCATTCCCTCTCCCCACCTTGCCCCCCAGCCCCTGGCAATCCCTGTTACTACTTTCTATGAATTTGGCTATTCTACCTCATCATATAAGTGGAATCATACAGTATTTGTCTTTTTTGTGGCTGACTTATTTCACTTAGCATAATGTTCTCAAGATCCATCCATGTTGTAGCATATGTCAGAATTTCTTCCCTTTTTAAGGCTGAATAATATTCCATTTTATGTTTTCTTGCTTATCATTCATCTGTCAATGGACACTTGGGTTACTTCCACCTTTTTGTCCTTGAGAATAATGCTGCTGGGAACATGGGGGTACAAATATGTTTGAGTTGCTGTTTTCGCTTTGGGTATACACTCAGAAGTGGGACTGCTGGATCATATGGTAGTTCTATGTTTAATTTTTTGAGGAATTGCCAAATTGGTTTCCACACTGGCTGCACCATTTTATATTCCCACTAACAATGTACAGATATTCCAATTTCTCCACATTCTCCCTAATAACTTGATATTTTGCATTTTTCTTAATAGTAGCCATTCTGATGGATGAGAAGTGGTATCTCCTGGTTTTGATTTGCATTTCCCTAATGATTTGTTTTTAAAGTATGACTTGTATGGTATTGAGTTTCACTTACTAGTAATTTATACTTTGTGGCTTGCTATCTATATTGATATCAATGAATTGGAAACAGTGTTCAGTGACACCAAAGTACTTCTTTTAGCTATGAAATTGTATACTTTTGGAGAATTAGGGGAATATTATTACATAACTAGAACTTAAGATTTCCCCCTGGATTTTAGAGTCAATATGCTGTATTCACATGAATTAGATACTGGTGTATTTTTGTTACAAGTCCATTTAAAAATTACTTTCAGTACATGTAGAATGAAAAGTAAAGATCCCCTCCCCCACCCCCAAATAAATGACCATGTGAAGTTGGAATGTCTTGTACACCTGCACTTCTTAAGTTCTGGAAAATAATTAAAAACACAATGCCTGAACGCTGTTTTCTTATATCCTATTCAAGAGTCAAC